TTTTTACGTGCTACATTAATTGACCATTTAACAATCTTTTCTCTTAAACTTAAATCTGTAGTGTCTAGATAGTCAACAGTCCTATTCTTTTTTGATCTTAGTTTGCAAGAGATATAACAAATTGTTGCATTAGGAAACCATACTTTTGCATCACTAAACATACCCATTAATTCCTCACTATCTATATTGTGAAGCTATGCACTAGCTGTTTCCTCTTTAAATGTCTCCGTCACAGTAAGAGAAGCTAGTAGTAAATGACTAAATACTAAACTATTAAATCATATAATAGGGGTTTAACTGACTGATCCTCTCTAAAGCAACTTCATCTAAACAGAAATTAAATGACCTTCATTTTTACATATATATATATACATATATATATATATATATATATATATATATATATATATATATATATATATATATATATATATATATATATATATATATATATATATATATATATATATATATATATATATATATATATATATATACTATATAATAACTACTAAGCTATTAAATACAGAAAGTTACTAACTGATGTTGTCGGCTACAATTTCACTATAACTTTGAGCATCTAAAACAGCAAAATAAATATTTAAGTTATAAATAAAGGTTAGATAGTGGCCAAATAATAATTTGAAACAGTTTAATAAATTTATATTAAAATAACTTATTCATAAAGATATTCCTTAATAAATAAACTTTATTTATTAAGGAATATCTTTTCGAATAAGTTATTTAAAAGACAAGATTCTTTATTATAAAAACAACGTTCAAATTTCAAATTAGATATGTAACACCTTTAGTGTTTATTAATAAAGTAATCTTACTAATAAAGTAATCTTTAGTTAACATGTATCATTAAACTATACCATTGAAATTGTTAAAATTTACCAAACTTACAAATCGCCTGTCTGAATTCACCTAAAAGCCAATTTTAAATTACGAACTTTATTATAAAATTAAACTATAACACTAACATTGCAAAAAATAATGTTTAAATGACTAAATAACTAAAATAGTTTAAACTTTACTTGTTCTAAATTGTCTATAGAAAAAAACAACAATGACTCAATAAAAAGAAAGCAACAATTAGGAATACATTAATAAACAACTGTAAAAAAAATTTGTGGATAATTGTAATAAAGATCTTTAAATGAATACTGAAAGCAGATAACTAAATACTAAAATAATAAAGCATAACAAAGAAACTGACTTATCCTCTCAAAAGCATCTTATAAAAAACAATTAAAAAACTTTTTTTAACAAAATAATACAAACATTTGTCTAGACTATATCTACTGATCTTAAGTTAAAAGAAACTAATGGGTATGAAATGTGTAAAATAACTAACTAATATTGTTGGCTGCCACCATTGGACTGCTTTGAGTTGCTAAAACAATATAACAAATGTTTTTCATTATTATGTTACATGTATTATACATAAAAGTTGAATAATTTCACTAACATATATAAGTTATATATGAACGTATTTTATTTAATAAATAAAGTACGATTCAACTGTAATAAATAATATAAATAAAATTCAACTGTAATAAATAATATAAATAATTTATATTATTTATTACAGTTGAAAGATTAGCAGTCAATTATTAAAAAAAAAAAGATTACAACACTCTTACATTGTAATACAATGTAAGATAAAAAATATTATAATATTAATGTCTTTAAACTTTAAAGTAACATTAAAATTCATTTAATTTAAATGAATTTTAATGTTTCCTTACTAAGTAAGGTAAGTAAACTAATGTTTCCTTACTAAGTAATTTAATACTTTAAAGTTTAAAGTATTAAATTTTAATTTTTTTTTTTTTTTAATTTTAATAAATAGGAAACAATATTGAAAACCTTTATCATTATTTTGACCTTCCATTTTATTTAATCTAAAAAAAAACTGAAAATGTTCTCAAAATTCAATCTAAATCAAATATAAAAAATGTTTGATTAGCCCCTCTGTCTCCCGCGCCCATTTCAGCAAAATGAGAATTAGGTACCAAAAGTGCGACAAAAAATAGACACCCTGCTACAACTTTTTTTTCAATGAAATTTTCCAGGTGCATAGATAAATGAAAAACTTAAATGAAAGAATAGTATAGAAAAATGAATGAGCATATCTTCGACATTAATTTCATGCCCAAAGTACAACAAAGTTTTAGACATAAAAAAACTCTATAAAAAAGCTATCTAGTTAAATAATAATAAAATAATAAACCTAACAGTAACAAAGTTTAACTATTCTAGTTTCTAAAAATAATCTATATTGATATCGAATTCTAAAAGGTTTTCCAACTAAACACGTCTTCCCTACGCTAGCTAAAAAAAATTCTAAAAAGCGTGGCACAGTTTTTTAGCACAAAAATCGGTTCCGTAAAACGCGGATTTCCACGTACCTAATATATATTTATATATATATATATATATATATATATATATATATATATATATATATATATATATATATATATATATATATATATATATATATATATATATATATATATATATATATATATATATGTATATATATATATATATATATATATATATATATATATATATATATATATATATATATATATATATATATATATATATATATATATATATATATATATATATGTTTTATAAACACTAATCAATATGGCGTTGAAAAAGATATACCTTCATAAGTTGTTACACTTTTCCATTCATTATATATTTTTTAAATCTTCCCTTTTTGATTTTTTGTATATATTTTTTTTATTTACAGCTTCTTCTATTGTATTCAATGGACCAAAAAAACCTTGGTTAATGGAACATTCTTTGACTTTCTAAATTACGCTCTATTTCAAAAAGGTGGTGGAAAAGAGAGGAAATTTGTGTAGATTTTATTCAATTATATGTAAATATATGTAATATTCAAATATATTTTTCAATAAAACAAGTTTTATCTCTTTCTTTAATCATACCTAGCTATTTTAACTATACTAAACTGAAAAAGTTCTAAATAGTCTAAGTATAGACTATAAATAGATTTAATATCCCTAATATACCTTGATAATGTACAGCAGCACTAATGTACATGCATAGTACGTTTTGATGGTGATCACATTTTGACTCACATAGCACGTTTACATACATATATACATTTTGACATACATAGCACGTTTTAATGATGAAAAAGTGTTTTACAGTCGTTTTAACTTTGATAAATCAGCGTTGAAAAAAACTTTCATTCTAAACGTTAAATCAACGTAAATTCAACGTTAAGTTTCAACGATATTTCAACGTTATTTGAGTTAGTTGTGGGTTGCTGCAGCGCGGGGCTCACTTCGATAGCCGCAGCAGGGGGTACACCAGGATCTGGGGGGGAGGAGCTGCAATAGCCGCAGCAGGGGGTGCGCCAGTGCGGCGCCAGGATCTGGGGGGGGGATGAGATTCTCTTTTAGAGGAGAAGAAAACCGAAGAGTTTTTTTAATTCCCTTGTTTTTAATGGGTTGAATAGTTTATAAAAGATAATTCATTAAAAGTATGATGATTAGGTGGACAATTTAATGATCATTCTAAAGTATTTGTTTTTTCTACACCTAAATTATTTCAAGAAATAAATTTTTTTTCTGAATAGAAAGCATCAAAAATTACGTAGACAACGTTATTTCAACGTTATTACACCAACCTCTTTCTAAATAACCCTCCCTCCCCTCCTCCCCCTCTGCTGCCGGGTCCTTTGCCTGTCTCGGTATAACTGTCTATAATATACTATAACTGTCCCAATCCTTACGGTCAATTAAAGAATGTATATTTTGTTGTGTCAGTCCCTATTGGTTATTCTAAGTATTTACATTTAATTCTATTCATCACTCATGATCAATTAATGTAATTACACTTTTATTAATTTGATTAATTAATTTTACTAGGTCAGTAAAATATCACTTTCGATAAAACGTGATTTAAACTTAAGGGGGTGCGCCGTATACAAGTCCACCCAAAATGGTTAGGGAATAAACAAACAATAAAACGCAAAAAAATAATATACAAACGTTTAAAAATAAGCTACAGCGCAATCTTATTAAAATGTACAATATAAAAGCTATAACCTCAACTTGCCTAGTGAATTTTGAGAAGTAGATTGGAAACTAACAATAGTGCAAAAGTTTATTTTATAGAATTACAGAACCGTAACTAACTATCGAACAATAGTAACTAACAACGTTCAAAGTTAACTTGAAGAATTATATTGATTTCATTGACATATGAGAAGTTCATCTGGAAAAGTCCAAGTAAAATGAATTTAAGAAAACAAGTAAAAACTGAGCTACTCATAATTGTGCATCAACAGAAATTGATATATTTTAGACACGTTTTGCATATGGTCTATATGATTAAAATAGATTTTCTTAAATGTTTTGAAAGTGGCTAAAGTACTCAAAACTACTGAATTTTTATATGTTGTGTTTGATTCGTATTATATTATAATTTTGATCATTTAAATTATGATTAGTTTCTTAATAGTCGAATTACATTTTTAGAACAGCATATAAATTATATTCATTTATTTTTGACTTTCGCGTAAACTCTGTAAAATGAGTCAAGTAACTATCTATTTAAGGTAAAGGTTATGCTTAACTTTACTTTTACCTTTTTACTTTCTACTTTTGACTTATTTTTTTATTTTTATTATAGTTTATTATTTTATTATAATTTTATTTCTAATATTTTATTTTAAATAATTATTTTTATTATAATTTACTTATTTTATTATAATTCTTGTTTAAGTATATGTGCATATATAAACACACATTATATTAGTTATGTTATATATTCTAAAAGTCTGATTTTTTGGTATAATTAAATAAATTTTTATGGAATTTTACTTTTATTAGTTAATATTATGTTAACTTATTTGACTTAACTTCCTTTTTTAACCTACATTTTTTATGTGGTTTTACTTATTACATATTATTATTATTGTTATTACTATTTTTTATCTTATTAAGGTCATTGCGCTTTATTAGTGAATCACTATTTGCAATGACCTGTGTTTTTGTAACATCTGTAACACGAAATATATTGTTATTGTTGTTGTTGTTGTTGTTGTTGTTGTTGTTGTTGTTGTTGTTGTTGTTGTTGTTGTTGTTGTTGTTATTATTGTTGTTGTTTGATGAACAACGGAGTTTTTCCGTTAATTTTTACGGAAAAAATGAAATACGGAAACCGTAAATTCTACGGAGAAAGTTTTGTCTCTTATTTAAGGGACTTTTTCCGTTGATTTTTACGGAAAATAGAAAATACGGAAACAGTTAATTTTACGGAAAAAAATTGCTATCACTCTGCTGCCGGACATTCTCCGTTGAATCTACGGCGAATTTTTTAACAGTGTATAATATTACTACATGTTGACGATTCCCATTTTTGTAACTTTTAGAACTTTTAGACTCATTGTGCGAGGTGTTTTTCTAATAAAAAGATTCTAAGATAAATAAAAAAGTTTTAGTCATTTCTTAAATTGCAAATTAGCTACAGGTCCGAGGTACTTAAATTTCTTAATCAGTAAAAATTAAAAAAAAAAAAAAAATCAAAACCAGCAGAAACTTTTTCATGAAGTTTTTCACAAATAAGGACTTAAATTGTATTTCTACATCAGCTTAATTTATTATATGTTTATTATACCTTGCTATTATTAGTTTGCTTAAAATTTATCAAAATAGAATTTAGCAAAGTTAATCAAACGTATTTCTTCAAAAAAAAAAAAAAAAAAAAACATAAAAAAAAGATTTTAAAAAGTATTAATCCATTAATTTTAATTTTATGATTAATTTGAATAATTATTTATTCAAAAAAAATGTATATTTGTCAATATGCATACATACACTTTTATTTTTAAAATTATAATTTTGTTCCAACGCAAAAAAAAAAAAAACAGTCTTGGTCCTATGTAAAAAAAAATTTTGTAGTTACGCAAAAGAACAATTTCGATTCAAAGCAAATACTCCTTTTTTTTATCAATATTCAGATCTCTAAACGCTACACCCCAGCTGCTGTATATATAAATATAAAAAATATATATATATATAAAAAGATAATGTTTTGTTAACTTTAAAAAAATCTTATTTACTAGTTTATTGTAGCATCTTATTTTTTTTTCTTCAATATAAAAAATGAGATTTATTAATACCTTGTGTCAAAACCTAAATAACAAATTTCATTAGCTTTTTTTAATCGGAATTTAAAAAAATATTAGATGAAATTTGAAAGCTTCTTATGAATTTAGCGTTTATTTCAAAAGAATTTATTTTATTAACTTATTGTCTTATTGTCCTCACATTCGAGGCAAAGGAGCCAAAATTTGGGGTATATTGTTCTCAGAACCCAATCACCGCAATTGGTTTGCAAAATTTAACTTAATAAAAAACATACCTAAGTTTGGAGATTGCACAACGTCATAAAATATTAAGTGTACAACGCTAAAGAGTACAAATTGCACTCGTCGATCAATGTGGTCAAGACTCAATTTCGATGTCAAAAATGGACTCACTGACCTTAAAAACGTAAACTTAAATGAGTAATATTACAACGTGAAGACGATTTCTATTTTTGGTATTTTTTGGAATATTCTGACTCTTTGTATAGGATGTTTTTCAAATAAGAAAAATAAATAAAAATTTAGGTTTTGCCCAAATAGAAAGTAGCAACAAAACTGAGGTTTTTAAACGTAATCAGTAAAAATTAAAACATGAATTTTATTTGTTATCTGATGAGCTTTTTAGCACAAAATTGTTTTAAAAACAATGTTTGTTATTAGTATTTGCGAGTGCAAACGCAAAAAATCTTTATTTATTGAAAAAACGATATCATGACATTTTTTACAAATAAGGAATTTAATTCTATAGCTACATCCAGCTAAGTTTATTTTATTAATTTTTTTTTATTTTTATGTTTAATTTCTTATTTTATTAAACATTTATGTTAATTGCACCTTGCTTTTGAACATATTTGGTTGCTCAAAATTAATTAAAAAAGAATTTAGCAAAACTAATTTAATGTGCTTCTTCCTAGTAGAATTAAAAACTTACAAAAAAAAAAGATTTTGAAAAATATAATGTTAATCAAATGACTTGACATTATTTTAAAACATTGTTAACTATTTAAAAATATGCAAAAATTTGCTAATTTGGATATATAAACTTTTGCTTAACGTTAAAAGATTGTAAAATTTCAAAAAAACGATTTTGTACCAAAGCAAATACTCTAAGTTCTTTTTAACTTTGTAAATACGGGGGAAATGTAAACTATGAAACTTTTTTTCTTAAAGATATATTAAGTGTTTTAAGATATTTTAAGTGCTCCAAGATATTTTAAGTGCTCCAAAATATTTTATGTGCTCCAAAATATTTTAGGTGCTCCAAGATAGAGTCTTATCAAAGAGCACCACGGAACAGCCTTTAACCAGGGAGTTCACGACTTTTTTACAATGTTCAGATCTCTAACCGGTACACATTGGTTACTTTACAAATTATAAAACATAAAGTTTTTATATCTTTATTGGAATTTTACTTAACAGCAACATCTCGTTTCCTAAACAACATAAAAAACAAGATTTATTAATACCTTGTGTTCAAACCTAAATAACAAATTTCACCTAAATTAGCTTTTCATTATCCAAATTCTAACCTAAATTAGCTTTTTTTAATCCAAATATTAAACTTTTTTTGAGGGCGAGAACATTTGCTTCTATTCATTGTCTTTAATAAAGGATTTGTTCGAAAACTTATACCATTTTCTAGTTTACTGCAAAGCGTGCAAAAATAACTATAACCGCCTAACTTCCAATGTTTTTTCCACTCAAAGAAAGAGTTGTATTTTGTAGAATTTGAACTTACGTTTAAAATATAATCAGCTAAGGTTTTCGGAGAATCAAAACTCATAGCATCAATGTAAGAACCTGGAATTGCTAATCTTGGATCAGAATAGTTAGACCCTCCTAGAACTATAGGGATTAAATCGAAATTGAGACCAGTACGCCAATACTTTTCTGTGATGTAACCGTCACATAAAGAATTTTCTGCAGCAAAATAAAATTTAAAATCGCGTAAATCTGCATAGCACGGTCTTCCTTGGCACTTTGAAAAAAAACGCTTTGGAAATTTTTTTGCGCACTTTCCTGAAACTTCTATATCGACACCATACGATATTAACTTCAATGCAAGTTTGTTTCTTGCATTAATTTTACAATTACTCACAACCCATGCAACCATTCTTGTTTTGTTTAAAAAGTAATCTTTGTTAATGTTTTTAACTTTTGAAAGCTTCTTATGATATCTATATGGGAAAGGTATATCGGTATCTACTCCAAATGTTGCGGTAGCATTAAAATACTTGTCTATATCAGTAACATCTGGATTATTGTGTATAGATTCCATTGTAAAATAAATCCACAGTTGGCTGTTCCTTCTCATATTATTAATGCGTTCCAACTCCTGCATAGGTGGCATGTCACGCGAATTGAATATGACCACATCACTACGGTGAAGTTGTTTCTTATTATCTGTTATTTTAAAGTTAGAGGTGTCAAAACTGCACACAGATGAAGCCTTGAATGGCAGCCGCCAAACATTAGAAAAGTTTGTATATGTCAGTATAAGAAATTTTCGGCTTTGATTTAGTACACCTTCAAAACAAACAAGAAAAAATTAAATAAGCAAAGTTATTACAATAATAGTTGAAATTATATAATATATCGATAGTATTTTTTTGGGTTAGATTAGGCTGGAAACCTTTTGTACATTTGTTCAAGCTTAGTAGAATAGTTTATTAGACGGGTAAGTTTATTATACAACAGGTAAGTTTATTATACTACGGATAAATTTATCATACAATGGATAATTTTGAATAGGGCTACTACTTTGTGAAGGAAGATGCCCAGGTACAAATAGAGCAAGGTATTCAAAAAAATATTTTTCTATTCATAGTTTTTATGTAATAGTAATACTTATAAAACAACATTTAGCATTAATTAAATAATTAAAAAAATAATTAAAGTAATTAATTTAAGATTATTTAACTGCTAATTTTTTAGCATATGAACAAATATGAACAAATTTTAAGTTTGAGCCGTTTTAGGTATGGACTACGTTCATCTATAATATCTTTTAATAATACACTCTTGAGTCCTAAATACATGGAGGTGGGTGGGTGAGGGGAGGTAAGAAGGTGGGTAGATGGGAATAAAAGGAAGAAGGGGTGAAGTTTTAGTCCAGATCTAGTAAACGGGAGGGTTTTAACAAAAAAAGAGTGGGGAGGGGAAATTTTTTTATGTTACAGTATAAGTATTTTTTTAAAAAAGGTTTATTGATCCGAACATTTTTTACAAAAATATTTAGTTCTAGGGTGGCTTATGGTCAAACCCGCATTTTCAAACAGCTTTTTTAGCATAATTTGAATAAAATTTTATATTATAAGTTTTATACACTTGTGAGAAAAAAATCAAAAGCTCATTTTTGACAAATCGAGATATACTAAATCGGCAATTTTTAAAGTCTCTTTACACTAATTTTTAAAGCCTCTTTTACCCATCATTAAAACTAGTTCTTGACTTTACTTTATAAACATATTATAAACTAATTTATATATTACTAGACCTTGTTTACCTAATTAAAATGTTTAAACTTAGGTACTTAAAAACTAGAAGATCTGCTGCTCAAAAGGCTAGAGATCTAATTTTTTTCAAAGATAAAAAGATGTCAGAGCAAATAAATGTTCTGAAGTTTCTAGTTAAGAATGGAAATTTTCCACAGTTATCCACTGCTATACTTTTTTTCTTTTTTTTTTTTACTTAAAGTTACTTACTGCAATTTCCTATTATTAAATAAATACTTTTAGGAGGATCAATGTTACCTGTTTTATTAGGGCTAATGCTACAAAAATAATAAGTAATCTGTACTGATACCAGATTTGATATGGAAAAAAATCAACGTTTGCCTGAAATTGTAAAGATATTCTTAGAAACTATTAAAAAAATCTTGGTCATACAACTATTTTATAATATAAATTAAACAGCATTATATTGATTCGTCTATTTTATAAAATGTTATCCTAAAGTTATAAAAATAAAAATAATAGTTTATAAAGTGTTATCCTAAAGTTGTGATAGTAAAAATAATAGTTTATAAAATGTTATCCTAAAGTTATAACAAAAAAAAAAAATGATAATATTTAATAAAATATCATCTTAAAATTATAACAATAAAAAGAATGTTTTATAAAATAGAATTACACAACTTGAGGAGAACTTAGTAATTAAGTAGCTGTCTTCTGCTCTAAAAAAGATTTATAGTTACATAATATTGACTTTTCTCAATGGAAAGAAAAAAAAAGTTTAATAAATCAGTGGTAAAAAATGTTGTGAAGATCTCACGAAACATTTTAAAGAAGTTTGCTCTCTACGTGTATTTCATATTTTGAAAGCCATTTTTAGAGTTTGAGTTGTTAAGATAAATCCATAAATTTTTAACTTTTATACCACCCCTCTCCTTCATTCTTGATACTATCCTTCACTCTTATTCTTGATACCATTCCCCTGTTTTATTATTGTTACCAAAATATTATATTTCGCTCCAAGGTTAACAATATAAGTTTAAAAATTAGAAATTAGAGGCAACAATATAATTAAGTTAATGAAAAAATATTGATACATTTTGCAACATAATTTTTTATTTTGATTATCTTTTGTAAGTATATTTTTATATAATTAAATTTTATAATAATAGAAGCATATTAAATTGGATAAACTAAATCCAAAAATAAATATGAGAATTAATATATGTTTACAAAAATATTAGGAATAAGATAAGGTCATATCAGTTAATAGATAATACTATATATAAAAAATAAATAATAATTATAAATAAACTAAAAAATGCGGGCAAAATATGTTTAGAGATAACAGTTATTGTGAAAAAATTTTCATAATTTTTTAAAAATCATAGTTAATTTAAGTTACAGAGTAAATTAAAATTTTTAGGTTGTTTTTAGTTTTTAATTGATTTCATTATATTGATATATATATTATTTTAAAAGAAACTCACAAGATCATCACAGAGCATTGCGGAGGAACATTTAACTAAGAGGTTAACGTCTCTTGTTTAAATAATACTCTGAGTTCAATGGTGATTCTTCTTGAAGTTGTCATCATGCCTCAAACCTCTTGGTTCTTAGCCAAAAAATTTCCAATGCTGTAAGAAGATTTTATTTTATTGATTTGTTTTCAAAGAAAATTATAATAAAAGATTATAATAAAATAAATCAAAATTTGCCTGTAATAAACACCGTTTTGATTCTGTTTTAAACTGATTAAGAAAAATATTCTCCTCGAAAATAATGTTTTGAAAACCTTTCTACAAAAAATGGTTCGCGATTCTGAATTGAATAATATAAATAATGTGTGTGTGTGTGTCTGGCTTAAAGTGATATTTATCTAATAATTTCTTTATTAAACAAAAATTTTTTTAACATTATTTAAACTTAAACCATATCTTCTGTACTCTGTCTATAGAAGTTGCTTCTGGTTTCCTTAGTGATAAATCAGAATGGCGTTTTAAAAAACCTCGCACAAAGCCTTTTTCTAATAATTAATTATCTTTGTTAATAAGATTTGAAATGAAAATTCATGGCGAATCCTTTGTTGTTGATCATAACCTTGCATGTTCGAGGCATAGATTCAATCAGGTGATCAATGAAACTATGTGAAATCGCTGGCCAGGCCTTTTGGATTTGTTCAAACAGTTGATCTTTATTACGAACACCTTAACAATTAATTCTGCGGTTGACGATCTCCCACAGGTTCTATATATATATATATATATATATATACATATATATATATATATATATATATATATATATATATATATATATATATATATATATATATATATATATATATATATATATATATATATATATATATATATATATATATATATATATATTTAATTTTGCTGTGTGCATATTCAGCAAAAGTGCTCGATGAATGATATCAGAGCTATATAATTGATTTTTTAGCGGGATAGCTCAGATGGTTAGGGCGTTAAAGGAAAAGTGAAAACCCGGACTGTTGAACGATACGAGTTCAAACCCCGCCACCGCCAACTCAGCGCTTGAGTAGTACTTCGGTACGCAAAAATGATGGTCAATAACGGACGCTACTTTCGATTAGTCTTAATGACTATTTGTGGCTGTTTCTATGCTTAGCCAACAATATCTTCGGATATAAGAACATTGTATAGAAAAATATAGCATGAAAACTCAAATAAAAAAATAAAAAAAAGATTAAATAAAAATAGCTATATAATTTTTACTGTTAAAGTTTCATGCGTTTAGCAATCATCAGGTAAAAAATGCATTGTTATTTTGGTTTGGTTTTTTAAACTTTGGGCGTGCGGTTGTAAACCTTGCGTACCTTTGTATGATATTAAGCAAAGCTTTTAATGAAGGTAAAGCAAGCATTTTTAATTTGGGTATTATTTTTAAGTTTTCTGCCATATATATACTTTGAAAGGATCGTTGAATTTTTCATCTTTTTGTTTGTGAATGAGTGTTTGTGGTTAGCCCATCATTTAGCCCATATTTCTATTCAACTTCTGCTAGGCCAATATATACATTTTCTGGAGTTTTAGAGAAGGGGAGGGGGCAATACTATGTATTTATAAATAATATTAGAGGCTCTACATTTTCCTATTATAGGGCAGTTTTCTTTATTTATGCAATAGCAGGGTGGTTTAAATTTGGTCTTTCTGAACCGATTTTCTTGTTGTGTCTTTTTATTATTCTTTTGATATTTTTGGTGCAACTGTAACTCACTTTGATGGTATTTCGATTGAATAATTTACTTAGGGGGTGGGATGTTTGAAAATGTTTGACAATCACATTTAGGAAGATATGTCCAACATTGGTAGAAACGCTTTTACTATAAGGGTGGTTGAACCATATTATTATTATTTTTTTCATTTCTTTTTTTCTCTTTTTTTGGGATTATACTTTAAATTGAAACCATTGAAGCCATTTCTTCTTAATTCTTCTTCGTATTCTGGTATGGTATAGATAAATTGAATGTTTTTTCATTACAGAAATTTTATGACAGTCTGTCGTTGATAGAGATGGAGATTTACTTTATTATTTGCGGAAAATGGTTGGAATCAGTGTGGATGTAACGTAGATATTCATTTGGTTTTTTGAAAGGCTGGTAGGAGTTTTTTTCTAAGTTAAAGGATACATCTAAGAAGTTGACTGCAGGTAGGTTTGTTAGGATCTCTATTATAAAATTAATCATTTTTATTACTCTAATTATGTTTTTTCGTATGCTGTCAATTTATGATCCAATTTTTTTTCAAAGAACCATCAGATCATCGTCACAAAATAGTCCAATGTCATCTTTATTTATATTTTAGATAGTGAGTCTAATATATATAGACCCACCAGTTTAAAAACTTCTTCACCGTCACAACAACCCATTTTGATATTAAAGCAGTCGCGCTTTGAGTTTTTCTTCTATGTTTCGTTGTTAAAAGATAGCAAGGACGTTCTGCAATGTTTAGTGATTGTGATGTTCTCTTTGCTAATACTTGTGTGTTTTTTTGCAAACAGTATTGCATGACTAAATATTTTTGATATGGTAGTTGGGTAAAAATCAAAAATGTTAAGTTTAATAAAAAAACGCAATGTTGTTTTTCTGGTATATTTTCAAACCATTTGATTGCATCAGTGGTATATTTCTATCGGTTAAAATTCAAATACAGATCTTATTTTTTTATTTATAGTGTCAAAATATTTTTTGCTAATGAGTTCACTTATAGCGGGGCTCAATAGACGGCAAGGTTTATTGTTTTGGAATGAGTTTTTGTGGTCTTTTAGTGTAATAAAAGCTTCAGGATTTGCGATTACTTTTATTCGTTTGCTTAAGTTGTGTGTGCTTGCTATATTATTGGCTTCTTAAAAATCTTGTTATTAATATAGATAATTGCATAGAATTTTTCTAGTTCACATGATAAATCAAAAATTGAACTAAAACAATATATATATATATATATATATATATATATATATATATATATATATATATATATATATATATATATATATATATATATATATATATATATATATATATATATATATATATATATATATATATATATATATATATATATATATATAAATATATGTATATAAAACATTAAAAAAAAATACACACTAGGGTTATGGCTTTTTAAAAAAATATTAATTTACTGTGTCATAAATCGATGAACTTTTATTAGAAAACATTGAAAACATGTTCAATTCCTCTCGGTTGTAAAAAAAGGTTGCCCAGAAATTCAAACTACATTTTGTCATTTATTTAAGCCACTCGTATTAATTAATATTAATACGAGTGGCTTTCCTGCAAATCATTTAAAACTTGTATAGATTAAAAGTGTTTAGAACTTTAGAACATTTTGGAAAATAACAGAACATTTTAGAATATTCTAGAACAACTCAAAACATTCTGGAACAATTTAGAACCTTCTAGAATAATTTAGAATATTTTGGAACAATTCTAAAACAATTTAAAACATTCTGGAATATTTTAGAACATTTTAGACTGTATATAGCTGCTCATCTAGTTTTATAGTTAATGCAGAAGCAACACATGGTGTCGTACAAGCCTAGCGATAGTAGCATTCAGAAGAACAAGGATGTCTGGACCAATATTCTAGTGATTCTGGCTCAGGCTGACAACAGCGAATATGAAAACAATGAAGAAGAAGATGAGACAACTCCTACACCAAGCAGAAAACATCATAAAACAAAAATAGTGTCCTTCACAAGAATATCAATAAACAAAGCTGCTAAGATATGCAAGCAATTGGCTCGTGAAGGCATTGACATCCCAACTCCATGTCAGTCAGCTATTTACAAGTCAACTATCAAAGAAAGAAATTATTGAAAATTTGCATACGGAAAGTTGGTCCTTACACTTTGATGGCTAGCACATTGACAGAATGGATTATCAAGTGATCGTCTTTAAAAATGAAAAAAGAGAAATCAAATTGGATGTCCTTGGCTTGGTAGATGGCAGGGCTTTAACTATTGCTTAAGGAATTTCTAAAGTCCTCCATGAATTTCACCTATGGAATTTAATACAGATGATTGTTGCAGATACCACCAGCGTTAACACTGGAAAAAAGAATGGTATTGTTGTAATATTGCAACAAATGTTCGAAGAGAAACGCATCAACAAACCTCAATTTATCAGTTGTCAACACCATGTATTAGATAGAATCCTCCGTTTTGTGATTGGTGAAGAACTTGGGAGTAAAACACAATCACCAAACATCAAATATCCGTTTGTATCTCAACTGTTGAAGGAGTACGAACAACTGAAAACAGTTTGATAACAGAACTGAAGTAATCCTTAAACACCAGGCTGAAGATGATATGAAATTTTTGTTTCATTTCACTCGAGTGTTCCAATTTTTTTAAGGAATAAGAGATATTTTTCATTGATCAGGTTTCAGAAAATACCCAACATCAGCAATGTAAGGTGGAACTCCAGAGCTATGTCAGCGATCCTGGCCTTCATTTTAATTCCTTCAATAAGGACAGTTCTGTAGAGAGTATGTATATTTATATCGTATGGCTGGGCAGACCATTGGTTTACCGACCAAATGTACAACGAAAGCAACTTTAATAAATTGGTTGAAATACTGAATTACTTCTGGGTATCTGTTGTATTGATGGCTCTCACTGGGAGCGAGAGCCATCAGTACAACAGATACCCAGAAGTAATCAATGCGCAGAGCACGCAATCAAAGTAATAGAGGAATTTTATTCATCATGCAAAAATAAACACATATTGCACCTTCGATCCCTTCTGTGCAACAAACAAGAGCAAGGTCAACGGTCTGAGTCATTGTTGGATTGAAAATCTATTGTATTACATGATAATGGCATTCTAAATACATTTGAATACATAGTAGTATTTATGTTAAAATCGATTTTTCAATGGCGGAGTGAACTTTTTTGAAAAGATATTCAAACAACAGTTCATTTCGTGCTTTTTAGATAAAAGTTCATTAAACTACAGTACAGGAGAATGGGGTTGATAAAAAGTCATAGCCCTAATACACACACACACAAATCATAATACAAAATCAAAACAAATTTTATTACAATAATATTTAAAACATTTGTGCATAAGAATCACAATGTTTATGTCTTATCTTAACAAGTCCTTCATAATATATTCAACAATTGCTTCCTAAATTTATTTTTTTCAACTGATTTTTTTTTTTTTAACTGATTGTTATTTTTTCTGTTAAATGCATTTTAGCATTATTTGGTTAAATATAATCGGTAATATATTTTGCTTATATTTCGGTGTGAAAAAACTGTAACAAATATGTATTTATGAATTTAAATAAAAATATTTAGAACATATAAGAAAGTCCATTTATATCCAAAGTTGTCCATCTAAATATGCAGTTTATGAAAGCTTGTACATATGATATATTCTTATATGGCATATACGAACCAACTTCTTGAAGCAGCAGATTTATTGAATATGTAAAATATTGCAATTTAATTATGACAAAGAAGCTAATCCGTTGTGTAATGACGTTCAGATATAAAGATTTCTTTTTTAATTTGAGATTTTAATCCTTTATCAATCACTCTATCGTGCGTTTTTGATACAATTACACTTAATAACTTTTGTCTCCGTTTTTACGCTGTATTTCTCTTTTTTAGTTAGATGACGAAATAACTTGCTATTGGCATTTTTAATATTAATAACAGAGTAAATGCAATTAAATTGCGGCGGAGTACTAAGTTTAATATTTAATGCATTCTAAATTAGGTTGAATCCTAGTATAAAAAAGAACACTCTATAGCTCAGAATATCACTTCCAAGGTCTCTAAACATTGATTTTATATAATCTTGTTCAGCAGCAGGAATAAAAGTATTATCTTTGTACGTTTTTTTGCCATTTGCTTTATCAGCCTAAAATCTGTAACAATAATCCTTGATGCGTGGCAATTGATGACGTGTTTCATAGATATAACTTTCAGAACAGTAAAAAATAAAAATAGCTGCTTAACTTGAAACATATTTTTTAAATGAATACATTTTTTTTTAAATTTATTCAAAATATATAAAAATGGAGAGTAAATAATTTAAAATTAAAACCATAAATGTTTTTAATTATAAATATCATAAAAGTCATAATATAATTAAAAAAAAATATATATTTTTATTTTATTCACCTGGTACTTTGATATTCTGATCTGAATAAAATTTATTTTTGAAACCTTGTACAAAGCTACGGTAATAACTTGGAAATATATAGTTATTTTTTAATGACATATCATGTATAAATATCAAATACAAAATCAAAATGCTTATAAAAAATAAAATTATTTTCCATTTAAATGTTTTCATTGTGTGATAGCTTTACAAGTTTTTCTGCTCATATATTACATGCTATTTATATCGCTTTTAGCTAATGTCACTTTTAATAATTCTTTTAGTTTGATAAGAAATTTATAAACGCAGGATTTAATTCTTTTAGTTCAATAAAAAATTTATTAACGCAGCATTTAATTGTAAAAACAAAAGATTGTTATATTTCGTAAACAAAGGTTTCTAATGATTTTGAATAAAAATTATTTTCTCAAAAGTAAAAAAAATAAATAAAAAATTAGTTCTGTTTTTTGAGTAGTTTTTCCTTGTAATTTAAAAAAGAAATTTTTTTTTTTGATTTTTTTTTTAATTTTGATTTAAATATATTGATATTAAATATATTTAAATATATATTAGATATAAACTTAGTCATGGGCAAGTACGCAACCAACTAAACTCCAAAAAGCTTTAACAACAAGTTTGAAAAAAAATCTAACTGAAAATTATAATCTAAGATCAAAATGTAAACAACAATTATAAACTGCCTCGCAGATGTAATAAATTCTCAGAATATTGTATATCTAATCCAAGACCCAAGTTACGGAATGAGTGTTAAAATGAATATAAATAAATGGTGAAGTCCATAAGTTCGTTTAAGTTTCAAACAAAAAAAGAAATTTTCACAATGTGATTATAAAAAAAACTAATATTTTTAGTATTGGTTTGACTATTTTAATATTTTATTTTAACGGTTAGTTTTTTTTCCTTTGACTATATTTTTTGTTTTCTGTTTGTTTTATTTAATTGTTTTGATTATTTTAACTTTATAACCTTAAGATATATTAAGATAAGATATAGTGTTTGAGTCTTTATAAAGGGGCTTTATGAAAAGATTTTGGTAATGTAATGTTCACCGTTCTTTGAGCCCCTCTCTGCTTTAACTTTATTTTAATTAATGTGTAATTTTCAGTATTTATTTATCTATTCTCTTCTATTGTATATTTATTTAAACGTGTATTGTAAAAGTAATATTTATACCATGTTAAATAAAAAAAAAAAAAAAAGGAAAGAAAAAATTACCAAAAAACCGGGGGTTACTTTGAACGCTTTTGAGTTATTTTTACTTGCTATTCTTTCACTATCAACAATTTTTGAAATTTAACAAAATGAATATAGGGGCTAAGGTTGACTTTTACATAATTCAAACTTAAAATAATATTTAAGTATATAGATTTTCTACAATATTTATTTAATTGGTCATTCAAAGTTACCCCACAAATTGGTTAACTTGGAATACGTATTCTTTAGATGCAAAGCCTATTTAAAAACGCATTCTTTTATTTTAAAATTTAATAAAAACATTAGTCTAGTTTCACATGAATTTATTATTGCTAATATATATATATATATATATATATATATATATATATATATATATATATATATATATATATATATATATATATATATATATATATATATATATATATATATATATATATATATATATATATATATATATATATATATTAGCAATAATAAATTATATGAAAAAAATAAAATATAATATATGTGAGTTGTTTACGTTATTCACAGTACCCCAGTACTGGGGCACAGTGAATCAATGAAAACTGCTGTTAGTTAATGATAGTGAACAGGGGCATAGCCAAATAACTATGAGGCTGAGGAAGTAAAGACACTGTATATTACACTTTTGGCATACTTTTATTAATTAGATCAGTATAAAATAGATATTTTGAAAATTGAGAAGAAAAAAAATAAGAATTTTATTGATATCAAAACTTATAAAAATATTATATATATATATAAATATATATATATATATATATATATATATATATATATATATATATATATATATATATATATATATATATATATATATATATATATATATATATATGTTATCTATTTTTTTAAAACCAACGTTTGAAAAAAAATTACAAGTTTATTCTAAAGCACTATTATTCAAAATAGAAGATTTTATTTTAAATCGATTTATATGCAAGTATTGCGTGGTATTATACCGCGTCAAAGCAATGTAAAAAGGTTTCATAATTTGAAAAAGCGGCGATTCTTTTTATTACCAAACTGATTAGAATTACTTAATCAACAGTATCTTTAACTAATAGTATCATTAATAGTTACGTTATGAGGTCTTTTAATGAGTTGTTAAAAACCATATTAAACTCATACAAAGGCTTTATGGTAACCAATAATATAATAATGTCTACTTGCGTAAATTTTGAGATGCAATACTAGTATAATTATGAAAAACCAATGATTTTGGACAATAAAAATACTTTTGATAGATAAAACATACTTCCCAGCTGGCATCATTACGTTGTTTCAACGTTGAAGTTCGGTTGAAGCGTTGTTTTAACGTTGTCCAACTATGTCACAACGTTAAATCAACGTTACGGTTTAAACGTTGTTTTTTTAACGTTATTTCAACTTTAAATCATTGTTGACAAAAAAACTCAATTTTAAAAAACCTTGCGTTGAGTTTGTGCATAAAGTAGTATTAGTTAAACTTTAACTAATTATTGCTGTTATTATTGATTAGAAATTACTATAACTGTTAAGGCTGTTAACTGCAAAAAGTAATTAAAATAATATTTTAGTATGATGAGTGATATTTTTAATTTTTTATTATCAAAAACGTTTTATTTAGTATTTGATTTTTCCGTTCCTATGAATAAAAAAATGAATGACTTATTTAAGAAACTGGCGAAAATGCCACTCTAATGTTCTAGCTCTGGCAGAATCATATTCTAGTAGTGAAGAAAAGAAACTTGAGAGAAATAATGACAAATCAAAATATACTCAAAACATTATTCAAGTAGAAAAAAACAAAAACTTGGATAGCGATTATGAAAAATATCTTTGTTATTATTTGTCTCAAAGTGATGACGATGACTCTGTGTTTTTCTCATAAGAAATTGAAAAAAACCATATTTCACTTAATTGTACACTGGTGAAATGGGCAGTAGAGTACTGCTGTTTATGTGGAAGTGTAAAAGTGTTTGAAGTTGGAGTTTGAAGCAAAGTTCTTTTAAAAGAACTTTGCTTCAGAATCCAAAATCAGTTACTGTCGAAAGCAAGTGTGGTGGTCAATACTATTAGTATTGGCCACCAAGGTATTAGTATTAATTTTGACCTAAATAAAGGTAAACCATCAATATTTACATCAATAAGTATTGTTTCATTTATAAAAACAAAATAATCTTTGTTTGATGCAGAAACAGCTTTTAGTTTTAAGATCAAAGTAATAGTATTACTATTAAACATTAAATATAAAAAAAGGTTAAATGTTTCTTTTTAAGCAAATTTTTTTTTGTAATCAGAGAACATTCTGATTGTATGATATCTTGTAATATACTTTGCTATTGTATTTCTGATGATTATTATTTATTTATGTTGAAGTATTTTGTCTTACTTTATTTTTAATATATATGTTTCAGCAAAATGGAATTATTGCAATTCTATTCTTAATGTACAGAGTTTTCTCTTTCGTTCTAAAACTTGTGTTCTTATATATCTAATACTGAAATTGAAATAAGTACAATTGTTTTAACAGTTTTCGATATGATTGGTATTAATTTTTTTGAAACCAAAACAAGCACTCTTGCTATTTAGTTATAAATTTTAAATAGAGAATTCTGCAGAATAATAATTAAAAAAATAAGTCTATTTAATAATAAAAAAAGGAATCTCATTACCACTAATAGCACCTAAAATTATTATTTAACAAGAGTCAAAGTTGTAAAAAGTCTAGTTTTCCCTTTAACAGTAGTCCAGGTACTATAATATAATGTTTTCAAATAGTTTTCATATTATAGTTTCCTATTTTATTATTTGTTTTATTATTTTATTATTGTATAGAGGTCGGTGTGTGTGTGTATGGGGGAGGGGGGGGTAGGGAAGGGGTAGGGAAGGGAGGATGTGTTGCAAAATGCTGAAATAAATGACCAGAGAGATAGGAGGGGGAGAAAAATAGTGTTTTTTTGTGCTTCAAAAAATATGGCACCCTGTAACTAGGTTTCATGAAAGTTTTTATATAAAAAAGGAAGAGCTCAGCTCCTGAATTAATCTGAAGCGAAAAAACAACACCAAAATATTTTTGTATTAATTTTTAAATCTAACAAAAGTAATATGAGAAAAAAACTGTTCAATGTTTTTATGCGAGTTATTCTTTTTAAGTTATAAATTTTTTAAATGTTCTCAAAAAAAAAGTGAGCATGTAATGTTAAAGTTCAACTTGCAGTACAGCAATGCACGCACCGTGGACTCCTTCGAAAGACCTCGGTGATCTGACCAAATGTTTTTCATGATTAAAAAAATACGCTCTACAGGTGCAGATGTTCCTGGCAAACACTAAAGGTATTCAAGAACTTTTACCACAATAGGTACACCAATGTCTTTTTATTTAAAATGCTTGAATAATTGAATTTTTACAACATGAGCTTCAAGTTTATTTGGAAGACCATCCACTGCAGATTGAAGTTTATTGTGGACAATATGTGCACCACAATCAATGTCAACAATATTAACACCAACTTTTTTTTTAAACCAGTTGTAAACATTATTTTTACCTTTTTTATGTACTCCATCAAAATTTGTGTTGCAAATGTCCGAACATAAAGCAGCTATTTTTTATTAACTTCATGACGCTATAATGATGAAACTAACTTATCAGTCAATATTTTAGATGTTTCACCATCAGCAGATTCAAAATCAAGAAGTTTTATTTTGACACCTTTCAGTAGTAAAAAGGACCAAACAACAACTGGTGATAGTTTTACTTCTCTTCTTTTTGATGTGTCATTAGAAACACTTACAAAATTTATCTTCTGTGAGCCATCATGAAACTCTTTTATTGATAAAGGTGCCAGAACGTTTACAATTATTGCTTGACATTTAGTTTTTGCAGCACCAAATTTCGGTTCAAAAATTTTTGAGATCAGTTTTGAACTACAGTCAGATGTTTTAAAGCTCGAATCTTGCATTACTGTGTGAATGGCAAATGTAGCCTCCTTTGCTGCAATAATTAAATCACCTTCATTAGATCTATCATTTTAAAAAATCCTTTAATAGATAAAGAACATGCAGCAGCTAAAATTCCAGCTACACATACACTAATAAAGTCAACGGTTAGCGTTTTTCAAGATGATTTCGGAATAAGACTTTGAATTTGACTTGTAATTGTTGGTATTTGTATTATTATCAAAACAATATGATTTTTGTTGTCTGCTTTTTTTTTCAAAATTCTAAGTTTTATTGTCATATAAAATGAAACAAAAAACTCATTTTTTTCAGAAACGGGACAAAACGAAAACCGTTGGGACGCTGGGACAAATGGCATAAAACCGGGACGTATGGTAAGCCTATATATATATATATATATACATATATATATATATATATATATATATATATATATATATATATATATATATATATATATATATATATATATATATATATATATATATATATACATATATATATATATATATATATATATATATATATATATATATATATATATATATATATATATATATATATATATATATATATATATATATATATATATATATATATATATATATATATATATGTTTTTGTTAGTTTTATCAAATAGAAATATTAAAGCTTTTATACTCTTGATGATAGGTAACTATTTTTAATTTTATTTATTTCATCTCTATATAAACAAGTTAATATTAGCAACTATAAGAAGTAATGTTTGTATTTGTTTTGATAATTTTTCTTTTAATTTTGAAAGCAACATTTTTTTACCTATTTAATTATTTTATTCTATTGTGCAATTTAGAGTTATACAAGAAGATATTAGAATTTTGATCAATTTGTGTTACATTAATATGTTTAATGAAAATGCCAACATTAAAATGGATGATAGGCTAGATGATGTTATACATTTGCAAAATGATGTAAATACTGTAAGGCGTGTTGAAAATATTTGTTGCCGAAATGAAAGAAATAGACTTAGGCAAGATGAAATTAATTATCTATGAAATGTAAGAAGAGCTGGTATAGGAGCAGAAGATAATTTGAACCCAAATGTGGAAATGGTGGTTAGACAAGTTAAAAATAATTGTTGCCAATATGCTAAAGATAGAGCTAGGCAAGATGAAATTAATCAACAACAATATGTTAGAAATGCTGCTAGACACAAAAAAATGCATTGTATAGCATAAAGTAAAATTACTCCAGATTATCATTATTTAGGAGAAATGAGTTATATTTGTCAGCATTGTGGTGCCAAGGAATTTCCTGATGAAATACATTTTTTTTGTTGGCATTATGGAAAAGTAGTTTTGTCGCAACCTTTGCCATTTCTGCAAGATTTACAAGATTTATTTAAAAGAAATTATGCAGACGGAAATGTCAATATGAATTTTTTTAAATATATTTGAAATTATAATGCCTGTCTTTCTTTTGCTTTATTTACAGCTAATGTAGTTCAACGCATGAGTCATTGGCTGCCATGTTTTAAAATATGCAGTCAAGTTTTTAATCATATAGGTCTTGTGCCAGATCAATATGTTCCGCCGACATATTGTCAACTGCATCTATTATCCACTTGCAGCAGAAAGTTTTATAATGCGACAACCCGGTAATGATCTTAGCCTAAATGATTTATTGTTTTAATTGCAAACTATTTTTAAAACTGCATTTTAAAAACTGCATTTAAAAACATGGCTGAAGTGGAAGATAAAGAACCTTGTCGAGCAGCTTTAGAAGGTCACTCAGTCTCAGTTGTAAAAATGTCTTTACCTGAAGGGCAAGATAGACCTCGCTATAATCTACCTTCACATAATGAAATGGTATTTGTTGGTGAAGATGGTGCTCCACCTGCTTTTAGGGAAATTGTTATTGACCCAAAAGTTATCCTCTTAAAACTATATCAAGTATGTCTGCCAAATTAGATCCTATGGTTTATTCTCTATTTTTTCCCAGGGGTGATGCTGGTTGGAATAATAAATTGGGTAACTACCCTTAAAGCACTACATTGATTAGAAATCATGTTACATTATCTCAGTATTTTAATTATGGACTTTTAGTCAATTTAGACAATTAACCTAGACAAACTTAGAAGCGAGCAGTGTGATGTCTTGCACAAACATGTAAACAACCTTGGAAATGATCATAATGTTAGACCAGGACGTCTTGTAGTTTGCCGTCAACTTATGTAGTTATGTAAGTCTTAGAGCTTTATCTAATTTATTTTGTTTAAATATAGTAGTTTTAATAAAAAAATGATTGCTCTAGGTTTTTTAATTTTCTGCTTTCAGATTTTGAAGCAACTTAGCAAAGCAAGTTTTGTTTTATATTTTAGTGCAATTGGAAAGAGCTGAAAGCTATTTTTTAGAGCAATTGGAGATTTTTAGTTACTTCTGATCACTTTATTGTTACTTTTTTATTAAAACTTTGAGACAGTAGAACTGGTACTGATTTTAGTACGTTTGCTTTATTTTTTTATTTTATATTTTTATTGATTTTATAGGTTTATTTTTTATTAGATGTATTTTTTATGTATTTAACATGGAAAACTGTCTATGATTTGTTGAAAAATAAGTTTATATACATAAATGTGCCAATATCTCAGTATACTTTATATTTCTCTGTATACGAATAAATTTTTTATTATTATTATTACTTTAGAGCAAAATATACTGACTGATATTGCTTTATTTTTTACAATTTTAGATTGTGTATTGTAATCTAGATTCTTTGTTAAATTACAATTTATTGATGTAAATAAATATTGTTTTATATTTTTGATAAACAACTTATATATATGTAAACTTAAAAAAAGTTATGGATTTCAATTAATCTTAAGTTAAAATATAGTCATTGATTAGAAAAAATCACAGTTTGTAAGAGTCTTTTACATTTTTTTATTATTCAGTTGTAACATTAGTAATATCACTGCTAATATGTTTAAAGAATACAGTGAAATTGAAATGGCTAATAATAGGCGAAGAATTTATTTGTGTAAATGCTAATAGAAGAAAAAAATTGTTGTCCATATGGAAGAGATAGAGCTAGGTAAGATGAAATTAGTCGTTGTTGAAATGTAAAAAATGCTGCTCGGCGAGCAGAAAACTTACTTGCCAGAAGTGTCAATCCGTGTTGATGTCTGTTTATTTGATTTTACTTTAAACACTACCATTACCAGGCATGATTTTTTTTTTTATAGTAACAGTTAGTAATAGTTTTAAATTTGAATGATTTTAAATTTTTTTATAAATTTAAACATAATTATGTTCTTTCTTTTAGTTGCCTTTGTCATCACTTGATTAGTTTGCTTACTGTTGAAACATGGTTTTAATTTTGTAAAACTTAATGATATAAAATTTATTCATTAATTGACAGTTAGAAAGAAAAGAAAAGCTGGAACTTTACATAATAAAGATAAAAATAATTTTGTTTACTGGTAACTTAATAAAACCAGTTAATATGATTTATTGCGTGTTTTTTTTACTTTTTTAATATGCTGCTTTGGAATCACTTTCTTTCTCTTCCTCTCTTCTCTCAAATGACAGTTAAATGGGAATTAGTACATAGAACGTCAATAAAACTTATATAATTACTGAGCTCTTTCGTGTTTCTTAATACCACAATTGATAATGACCATGTATATAAAATATTTTATGAGCTGCTTCTATTTTATGTTATAATTGTTCATTTTGTTTAACCATAATGGTTCAATATTGTAATAAATAAAATCTTTATAGTTCAAGTATTTTAGCTGATAAAATTTTTTTTATCAATTTCTTATCAATTTGTGGCGTTATTTGCCCATGTTATTACGTCAAGTTGTGTAGCCTTTACTTGACTTTCTTTTTATAGAACCTGCTGTGTTGTAACAGATTTAAAAAGAACTTAACTGACGTTAATGTGTCTTTTTTTGTCGTTAACTGTAAGCAATCATTTAATTACTAATAAACCATATTACGGGTTGCTCACTTCTAGTAACTATTATAGTAATAATAGTTATAATAAACATAAAGAAATTATATTTACAGTGTGACAGTGGTAATAAAACTGTTCTAACAGTACTTTTGAATAAGTACATGTAAGAAAACAATGATCCATTATGCATTTGATTATTAATTGTCTTGACTGTAATAAAATAATTAGATATTTAATATTCACGTGCCAATTTTCAATAGACGCACTAAAATTTTTACGAGTTTTTCGTAAATTTCTTACATTCTGTAGTATTTTTTATTTTGTGAGTCAAAACTAAGTTTAACTTAACCAAATGCCGAAAGGAAAGGAAAAAACACTAGTAACGAGACTTGTTTCAAAGCTAAAAAAAATTGAGTAAATGTGGTAGTCTGCTTGCAGTCCAGATTTAACGTCTAAATAAAATAGTCAGCTATCTTTTGAATTTATTTCATTTATGATTGATCGCTTTTTAAAATTGAAATTATTTTTGATAATTTTCATTATTTTTTGATACTTTATTTATAATTTATTGAAATACATTATAAAAATAAAGTTAAGTATGTTTTTAAGACATAACCCACATGCGCCTATAGAAAATGGTCGCAGTGTAAATATTATATAATATTTATGATAACAAATAATATTTTATGACAAATTGTGATATATTGTAATAGTTATTATACATATTATATTATAATAGTTGTTATAAATATAAATAAAACGTCTTTTGATCTACTTATGCTTTGTCCATTCAAACAGCCCTAGTTCGTTTACAAAACTCAAAACATTTGGCTGAGGTCCAACCTACTGTTTTTTACCAGTTTTTTTTCCATTTAATTTCCATTTTCAGGATTCAGAGTAAATCCATGTTTTCAGCTAGCAGCTGATCCTGGAAACTTTGAATACATCTATCCAATTATCTAGCATAGCACTGGAAAATTCACATGTAGATACATTTAAAATTCAAGGTTGGGTTGAAACCGAAACCAAAGCATGAACCTGAGAAAAACTTTCAACAGTAGTATTTCATTTTAAAATTTACAATCAAAATTAATCAATATAATATAAATTATTCAAATACAAAAAAATAGTTAAATAATAATTTAACAACTATTAACATCAAATTTTCAATTCTACAGATCATTTTGTCAAAAACCACAATTATAAATAATTTAAATATAGATCAGGTTTTTTAAAAAAGACTGCACTACAAAAAAGTATATATGAAAATACATCTAACATACTATTTTATTTAACATATACCTTTCTTTCCGTGCAATTCTCCTCCAGCTAATTTTCATATTAAGACCACATACTAAGGCCCACAAAGACGAGTTCAGATCACTAAAATCATCATAACCTCTTTCCAGACCATGAATAAGTGATTTTTAGAAGAAGGAAGGATGTTATAAAGAAAGTTAGAAAAAGCCGTAATATAATATATATATATATATATATATATATATATATATATATATATATATATATATATATATATATATATATATATATATATATATATATATATATATATATATATATATATATATAAACTTAAACTTTTAATAAAGTAAACTTTTCGACCGGTAACTTTTACATCTACATGAGTAAAATTTCACTCAATTAACAGTACTTTTACTTGAATACAATTTTTTTTTACTTTTTCCACCTCTGCCTAGTTGGTATGTTACTAAAAAGAAAAAAGCGTTTTTCGCCGTCACCACCGCGACTTATAACAAATTTAGTTTTTTTTTATTAAAAAATATTTAGCAAAAGCATTTTAGATGAAATGAATATTAGCCAATCCCATAATTTTTTTTCGAGAACCAATTTTTATGCGGAGTGGCTAATGAGTGGCGAAGAGATAATATTCATATGAAAAAAAAACATTTTTTTCTTGATAGAGGTATTCGCGCCGATTGTTCGAAGTTACACTTTTTATAATTTTTTACTGAACTTATGGCGATTTCCAAGAATTGGCGCGAATAGATTCTGATGTCAAATCCAGTTAATTTGTTCAACGATGTTTTCTTTATGTGTTCCTGTACCAAAAAAAACACTGTGCATATTAATTAAAGAAATATGTTGTGTCTATCTTAACTGAAATAATACTGATTACGGTAAATAAATTAACACTTTGGCTACTGTAAAGTGATTTTTTGTTGATCTATAGGCTTTTTTCCAGTTTGTTACTGGAGCCTTAGATCAGTTAAATTCAAATCCGGAATGGTTTCCTTAAAAATTAGGTAAAGGACTTTTGTTGTAAACTAAACTCGATCAAAATGTATCAACGCGATTCAAAAAAATATGTATACACATTTTTTCTGTAGTTATTTTAGGTGCTGCAAGAAGACCTTATGGTCATATCACAGACCACCGCAAAAGA